CTAGAGCACTTAATTTAGAGGGCTTTTTACGAGAATGGCATTGCATTGAGTATGTGCAAGGGGCAACGATTTATGAAAGACGCTAAAAGATTGGAATTTGCGATCCGTTGCGACGGGCAAGTCACTAGTATCATGAATGTATTATGTATCAATGTCCAAATAGTTAGTAAGGTTGCGCCGTTACCGTGGATGCCACTGATGTGCCCCTACACTTGTTATTGATGGTTGGTGATCGTCCATCTATTTGTACGTGGGTAGTGCCAATTGACATCGGCGCTGGACATTCTGGGTAGGACCACGATTGGAAAGGGTGTAATGACACACGGGGATTCGGAGCGCCCGCGTATTAAAATTTTTTTAATAAAATTTCCCTGTTATTACAGTGGTTCTAGTGCATTGCTCACTTGCGTCCTCGCATTCATGAATGGATTTGTGCCATCGTTTTCATGGATTCAAATTACGCGTCCACTAGACCACGTCGTTCGCATGTTTTCCAAATTTGCAATTCACTCGCTATTGATTGGACTCGAAAGGCGGGATTACTTAAACCAAGCCGAAGAGCATGTTGGCAATATATAAAGTTAAAGCAACCAAAAACTATGACTCTCAGGTTGGATGAAGAGAGAGGGTATTCGCGCATGTTGGACACCATGAATGTTTCTTCTGGTCTGGGGGATATCAACTACTGATGTGCACGGCTCGGCTCAAAGCCGTAAGCCGGCCGTTTCTGAGCCGGAAAAAGCCGGGCCGACATAGGCCGTGAAAACGGCTTCCAGCGGCCCACGGCTTTTGGTGGCTGAGTCATGCTTTCTATGAACCAGAATACCACCAGTACAGAGATAGTCCAACATAATTGTGATTGCATTTAGATTTTAGATAAAACAATTGATGAGATAAAAACATGTCTTACATTGATCAAGATACTGAGTGTATACATCTCAGATCAATCATGTGATTAAATCACATTGCGAGATAATGTGTTTGTTTACTTTAATTTAGTAGCTGATATAGTACATCTAAATAGGAATTCTGAAGGAAATGGGCATGGTGCAGACTTATATTTTAGATACTTTGTTAACTTAGAGACTTAGGTGCTTGTGATAATGCAATAGCAACTTCTTGTTATGACCAGGGCCCAGCAGCCCTATTTTCTTTACCCTCCCCAACAGGGACCCCACTCACCCACCAACGCTACACTTTCTCATCACGTCTCCCTCCTGGGACCCCTCACATGCATTACTCCCATCCCCGTGACTGTTGTTTGGACTTGTATACATACTGTTTACTTATGATTGTCCTTCTTATCTTCTTATCTCTACAACTGGACACTTACTTAATACCCTATCAGAAGCTAGGCTTTATGCCCTCTGCTTTCATATATTCGGGCCCACCTGACTCTGTTATCGTTATCTCGTAGACGCCCATTCGATTACGTATATAAGTCCGCTGTAACTACCATGTAGACCTCAGACTCGACTTATTGAATACATCGGTGCTTGTCTTCTGGACTTCCCTTTGAATCTCTGACTCATCTGTCTCAGTATTTCTGATACCTTTCCACTTAACATTGTCTTAGGGAACAGCCCCTCTGACTTTGACTCGTCCCACTTAACTCCAAGAAGCCCCATTGGTTTCTTACTCATATATGAACGAAACGCTGTCACACAAGTCGTGTGGAATGTCCTGCACCGGGCGTAACATTCTTTATCTATAGCAGATTTAGTGGCTTTATACAGCTACTAAATCAAAGTAAACGAACACACACATTGCATTATCTTGCTTGTTAATGAAAGTGATTTAATCACATGATTGATCTGAGATGTATATACTCAGTACCTTGATTAATGTAAGACATGTTTTTATCTCATCAATTGTTTTATCTAAATGCAATCACAATTATGTTGGACTATCTCTGTACTGGTATTCTGCTTCAACAAATTCAATGCTGTCCTGGATGTGCATTTTTTATGCAGCAAAGGACATTATAGATACATGCAGCCATTGTTTGAGTAATAATAATTGATAATCTGATTGTAGAGTAGTTTGAAGTAGTCTAGTATGTATTTTAGATAATGCCAGACCAGCAGAAACAATTGCACATTAGTAAATAAGATGTGTCAGGGTACTTATGAAAGTAAGCCACTGATAACTAATTGGATTTACATTGCATGCTCAATTGGCTTTGGTATTTTGTAGAATAGTACTAGAACCTATTTAAAGATGCCCTGTAGCACACTACAGACCCCATCTTGTCCTCTTGGGGCTGTAGGCTCTTAGCAATTGTTCAATATAGGTCTATTCTTGCTGGATTTTCACTCTTAGTTTCACCATGATCTCAACATCTTATCTTATCTACATAGCAAGTGCAGGATAGAAGCACCTGTTACAAACACTGTTATTGATACAAGCTAAACTAAGACAATTTATGTTACAGGAGTTAAATAGGAGACATAATATGGCAGAAGGCCAAAGCAGTGGCCAGGGGTTGATATAATGTAAACTACAAGTCCTTCAAAAAATGCAGCTAAAACTTGATTTGATGCTGTAAAGCTGCAGCTTGGGCCTAAGCCAGGCCTAAGCTGGCTGGAAGCCATCACTACAGCCCAGGCTTGAGTTTTGAAAAGCCTGAGCTGCCAAAAGCTGAGCCTAAGCTGCAGCTTCAGGCCGAGCTGGGGCCATCACAACACTAATATCAACATGATAATAATGGAGCAGACTACCTAATTTAGTAGCAAGTGACTTCTTGACCCCTTATTAATTAATTTAATTATTGTTTTTTTTAAATAGAATTTACTGTAGGAGATGGAAAGGCAGTAGACTTTATTTCTGTGTAGGAAAGAAACTAAAGTCTAATCTATCCTGGCTGGGTTGTATTTATGTGTGTTCAATTGTCCACATCCACATCACAATCCTTTCATGTACAGTGGCTCAAAAAACTGTCCATATGTTTTGACCTTTTGTACAAATGCATATACAGTGCCTCACAAAACTGAGTCAATGTTTTGCACTTTTGCACTGTTTGTTGAATATCACATCAGCCAAAACAAATATAAACAAAGTCTTGGTATACCATATAAGGTACACAATAAGGGCTATGTAATGCAACAATGATTATGTAATTCTGATCAAAACCTGTGGAGCTATGCCCATTTCAAATTGGGGACTCATTGACTCAGTTTTGTGAGGGGGTATCAGAAATATCAGAATCTGATGCTCCACCAAATGTACAGCAACCAATCCTTAATATATGGTTACCATAGTTACTTTACTATTGATGGGACCTGGAATAGAGCTATTTAACCATGGTTAACATTCCCAGAATATTATAATTTCCCAATGCGCCCCACCTCCTCTGCTCAGAAAGAAAACATGCTCTCTCTGACCTCTGAAGGTCATTCCACTCACACTATTGCCTCCAGACTCAGCCTCAGCAAGTCCACAGTCTCTATGACACTCAGAACCCTCCTTCCCAACCATCAGTCACCTCATTTTGGTCATCCTTCCAAGCTCTCTGCTACCTCTGAACATGCTATCATGATACAAATCACCACAGGAAAGGTTGGCAATGCTGTCCAGGCCACAAAGCACATCAATTCCATCATCCCCAACCATGTCTCCTCACAAACTGTGCACTGGGTTCTTAAACAACATTCATTCAAGGCTGCAACAAAGAAGAAAAGGCCACTACTCTCTGCAGTACATTGCAAGAAGCACTTAGCCTTTGCTTTGAAGTACCAAAAATGGACTATGGAGGACTGGGAGAGGGTGATTTGGTCAGATGAGACCAAAATCAACAGGGTTGGGTCAGGTGCCAGTCCTCCATAGTCCAGTTTTGGTACTTCAAAGCAAGGGCTAAGTGCTTCTTGCAATGTACTGCAGAGAGTAGTGGCCTTTTCTTCTTTGTTACAGCCTTGAATGAATGTTGTTTAAGAACCCAGTGCACAGTTTGTGAAGAGACATGGTTGGGGATGATGGAATTGATGTGCTTTGTGGCCTGGACAGCATTGCCAACCTTTCCTGTGGTGATTTGTATCATGATAGCATGTTCAGAGGTAGCAGAGAGCTTGGAAGGATGACCAAAATGAGGTGACTGATGGTTGGGAAGGAGGTTTCTGAGTGTCCTAGAGACTCTGGACTGGCTGAGGCTGAGTCTGGAGGCAATAGTGTGAGTGGAATGACCTTCAGAGGCCAGAGAGAGCATGTTTTCTTTCTGAGCAGAGGAGGTGGGGTGCATTGGGAAATTATAATATTCTGGGAATGTAAACCATGGTTAAATAGCTCTATTCCAGGTCCCATCAATATTAAGATAACTATGGTAACCATATATTAAGGATTGGTTGCTGTACATTTGGTGGAGCATCAGATTCTGATATTTCTGATACCCACTCACAAAACTGAGTCAATGAGTCCCCAATTTGAAATGGGCATAGCTCCACAGGTTTTGATCAGAATTACATAATCATTGTTGCGTTACATAACCCTTATGTTGTACCTTTTATGGTCTACCAAGACTTTGTTTATATTTGTTTTGGCTGATGTGATATTCAACAAACAGTGCAAAAGTGCAAAACATTGACTCAGTTTTGTGAGGCACTGTATTACAAAGTAACCAAAGGGAATGAAGCCAAGGCATGAGTGTATGAAACATAGCCTAGATTCAGGGCTTTCCAATGGGTCTTGGTTCATAAGATTCAATGAAGAATTGATCAAGATATCAACCATTAAATCTAGTGTTTAAAGGTCTGGTCCAGTCCAGTTTTTTTGACCATAATGGGACACAACCAGCAACTACAACTGGTTGCTGGTTGCACCTTATGTCCAGATAACTGGACCAGACTGCCTAAAGACCAAAAAACAGTCCTTTTCAGTCCAGTTGCTGGTCTGCACCCAGTCTGAACTGGTCCTACAATATGAAAATTATGTAATAGGGGTATAGTAGTGTAGTAATAATCATATTATAATGAGGATGACATTTATCAAAGAGCATGCCAGAAAATAAATGGCAACATCTGTGATTGAACCCAAGACCTCTGGGTACAAGCTCAGTCCAGTGCTCTAACCATTGTGCCACCCAGCCTCACTAGTAAAGATACACAATATATTATATATAGGGTTATGCAGAATTGATTTTATCACTTGTATCTAATTGATTGTGAACGCATTTTTGATCTTATCACTTAGATGTATATCCTAAGTATCTGATTAGTTGTGAATGCATTTTTTATCACTTGTATTATCTAATTAATTGTGAACACATTTTTTATCACTTGTATTATCTTAGATGTATATCCTAAGTATCTAATTAATTATGAACGTGTTTTTGATCTTATCACTTAGATGTATGTCCTAAGTATTTAATTAATTGTGAACACATTTTTGATCTTATCACTTAGACGTATATCCTAAGTATCTAATTAATTGTGAATGCATTTTTAATCTTATCACTTAGATGTATGTCCTAAGTATCTAATTAATTGTGAACACATTTTTAATCTTATCACTTAGATGTATATCCTAAGTATCTAATTAATTGTGAACACATTTTTGATCAGACTGCTATCCTGGAATGTCTGTACCAGTATCTTTTTTTGGTTCAACATAGATAATACAAATGATAAGATCAAAAATGTGTTCACAATTAATTAGATACTTAGGATATACATCTAATACAAGTTGTAACACTTTTGCTCTGGTGAATGCCACCTGAAATGCTTGTCAGAATTTCTCCCATGGGTGCGGCTCTTGAATTCTGGCATGGGCTACATTGGCTATGTTGACACAGGAAGTGTCTGGAGATGCTTCAGGCATCTATGTTTCGCTTCAGCTGTAGACTAGATTAGATTAGATTCCGGAGTATCGGACTTTTTATGTTATCTTTATTACATTCCTTCTCTCCTTACTCAGCTGATTAGTGATGGACTTAGTAATGCACAGTATAGCATGTGATTCTCCTTTGGCCAATAGCCTTTGTCCCTCATCTTTATTGTCCAGCACTTGTGGACTTATTCCCAGTGTGCACAGACCATTCCCTCTGGCCCCCATGGGTATATAAGGGTGTCTGTTTTGTCTCTTTCACTTCAGAGTTTCTTCAACCTCTGAAGTGTAAGTCTTACTATACTTTCTATCATACCTTTGACTAATGTCTCTTGTAGATACTTGTCTTTCTAGGTCAGTAGAATAGTAATATAGAGTTTCTTCAACCTCTGAAGTATACTTAGTGTTTAAAAGTCCAGTCCAGTCCGGTTTTTTCAATAAATTTCATGTGGACCGGACCAGCAACTGGTCTATAGTAACTCAAATATAGACCAACTGCAGACTGGACTTCTTAGGACCAGTCTATAGCGGTTCACTTTCGGTCCAACAACCGGTTCCAACTGGTTCTCACATGACCAGTTCAGAACCAGTCAGAGGTTGGTCCCCAGACACTTGCAATTCTTGCATTACACTCTGTTATTCTGTTTTGACTCCTATTACTATTACTGTACAAATTTTTCATTTCTCCATCATTTTCACTAGTATACAAGCACAACTTCATGATATTTTAAAAGGACTCCTATTGTAGCATAAATTGTATAAAAAACCTATAAGAGTACTTGTATCAACAACAGAGTCTTGCTTTGCTTCCACTTCCACCTCTCATGCATCCCTGCTCATCTTCTTTTGCATCTATAATTGCATAGTAGTCAGGACACTTGTAGGGAGAACCATCAATACAGGACAGATAAGAGTTGGGGAGGGCATGAACAATGTATATCTTCCATAAATCAGTTTCTGGACATTATAACAAAGTTTTCAGATGAAGTAGAGATGGGATGGAAATTATATACCCGGGTCATTGACAAGTGTGAGCAATTCCTCTGTGCTAACCATAACAATTGGAAGCTCTGACAGTATGGAAAGTATGCCCTGGGTGACATTCCCATTGCTTGAAATCCGTTTTGTGAGACCTAGGCAGCTGCTCAGCACTAATTCACTTACCCTGTGACACCAAAGACCATTGGCCCAAACTTTTCAGAGTGCCATGTTCAGCAACTTGGCTTCCAATATACCTTAGTTGAGCATGGTGAGTGTCAAGATATGGTGATATATGCGGGTGGGGGGCATACTACAAAGACCGTTCCACATTAGCTACAAGGGCTAAGGAAGGAAGTGGATACTCACAAGGAATGGAGATGCAACCCCATGTTCCAAGTATTTGTGTGCCATTGCAATGAGTGCCTTGAGTGTTCCAGCAACTAAGAACACATTGATGGGCCTCAGGTAGGATGATACATAGCATTACACACCTCCAGCATGCCACCCAAATGTGACTGTCCGCCTGCCATTGCCTGTATTGACACATACAGAATCAATTTCTATGTTCAGTGATGGAGGATGCACACCAGGTCGATGACAAGTAGAAGTAGAAGTGGAAGAAGGGGCAATGATGATGATGATGGGTGACAAGAGGGATAGTGGAGATGGCAAAAGTGTTATCCGATACAGCTTTGCTGAGAGCTTCCATTAACAGTTCGATGGTGATGTCAGTCATGTCCACATCCATGTCCACTCCCATTCCCACTCTCATGCCCACGTTCATCTCAACTGCTGGTGGTTTGTCAGATAATTCACCACCAAGTATGCCATCATCACTATTATTGCCATTGATGATAACTTTTGGTACAGTAAAATCCATCCTCGTTGTCAGTTCCGGCTCCAGCGGTGGCTGTGGCTGTGGTGCTTGCCGAGGCTGTGGAGTTGTGGCACCCAACTGGATGGTGGAGGCAGGTTGTGGGGAGGAGGAAGGCGAGGATGATGAGTGTTGTTGCTTGCACTTGTGCCGATACATAGGGTCATCTTCATGTTCCAGTCAAAAGTTTGTAATTGAGGACTTGGTATAGGTTGGTGCACATGTTGATAAGAAGGTTGGTAGTGTGGCTGGTGGTGTGGCAGCACAGGAGTCAAATGGGGCGGAGGTGGCGGACTGTCATGTCCCATACCTGGACCTGGGTGGTGCCAGTGATGGAATGGTGAGGCAGTGCTGGACACCGGATGAGAACCTTGAACTGAAGGCAAATGACGCTTCTGGAAACAGAAAGTGAGATTAATTAAGACATGAATTGTAACAACAACCAATTGAGGGGGATGATAGAGAGGAGCATACAGGGGCGAGAATACTGCCAAGGATGAGGTGGAGGCTTAAGACATGAGCCTCATGATACAAGTTGTGCTCTGGGGAAGAGGGATGGGCAGTGTCCAAGGCATGGCGCAACTGTAGGAAGGATTGGCATTAGAGGGGGGCGGGCGAACAGTGGGAGAGATGGATGGATGGCATGGTCAGATGGAGGCCTGGTAAATGAACATGTTAATTGCATCATGTTGCATCCCAACACTGTATTGAAGAAGCATACCTTGTTCCACCTCCCATCGACCTCAAATATTGATACACTTCCATCCCTGTAGATTTCATCCCCTGGTGGATGACGTGCCTTGCATTTCAACTACAAAGAAGTGTCAGCTTTCCACACATGCCATCAAAAGTGTGAAGGCATACACTGTGCCTCAATGCACCAAACTGACTCTTATTGTACTTCATCCACAAGCATCCATCCAGAATATTCGCATACTCTTCTGGGAAGGGTGCATTGTACCACATCTGAATGTTGTACTCTCCAAAGTGAATGGTGTGTATCCAAAGGCCTGTCGAGTGTGCTGTGGCAGGTGAAGGCCTGGGAGTCAAAGGTGTGGGAGAGATGGAGCGCACTGAATTTGAAGGCTGCATTGCAGCTATCGTGACATTTGATCAAAGCAGTCGATTTGATGGGCCGGCAATAGGGATCTTGGGGGCTATGGGGGTGGGTTTTGGTTGGGGTGGATTGAGCTTGATCTGAGAGAGTAATAAGGAGTGCAACTTCGTTAATCTGATCAAATGATACTCACCTCCATCGCTTGTCGACTTCACTCAAACCTGAGCTTGTCTGAATGCATTATCATGGTCTTTGATGTATCTCTGTCCTTGGGGGTGAGAATATCATCAAATAAACCTTTTGCTGGTCCCTTGTCACTGTTGTCCTCATTTCCTTCCCTTTCCCTTGAGCAGGCAGCCTGAGTTGGACCACCATCCACTGTGGGGGTGACTTGGGGGGGTGTAGTAGTGTGATCTTGAGGTGCAGGCATTTGATAGGTGGCGAATGCTCTACCGCTTTACATGTCAGCGTACATGTGTGCCCTCAAGACAATGCAAGATCAAAGCAATCTACAAAACATATCAGTACATGACACGGCAAGTGCAGAACTTACCACTGAAACCGAGCTTTATGACTCTGGCACTTCACAACACATCTTCCCATTCCTCCAATGTTTCACTTCTTATTGATCCATTCCACCCAGAGCTATCACTGCAGCTGACAAAAGAGTCTTCTATGCCATCGGGACTGGCAATCTTCAAATTGAGGTGCTGAATGGGCTGAAGACCACACCAGTTATTCTCAGAGACGCCTCATACACACTTGAAATTAGACTCACCATCATATCCATTGGATGTATTGCAAATACTTGTTACTGTTTCCTTTGAAGGCCAGGATTGCAAAATCAAAGATACAAAAGGAGATTGGGCAAAATCAGCATAAGCCCCAATGGGCTGTATGAAGTTGAACACATACATGTGGTGGCAGTTGCACCTGAACCCAAAGTGGATATTCTCACACTTCACAGACGGCTCAATCTCGCATCCAGGCCACAGTCATCAGATAGAAACACAAGCATAATTATATTAGAACATCTTAACATTCTACTCTACTGCGATGGCTACTTCTAATCTAATGTAGTCATAATAAAGTTTATTCAACAGTCTACAACCATGTCATCTGCATACTTATCAAATTCAGCAAGCATGGCATCTGCCTCTAAAAGATCCGCATAACACTTGAGGTCCACCTCCTCTACCTCAGCTGAGTTCCATGCAGCAAGGTCAGTGATTGTGTTACACCATGCGAACTTCATTATCTGAAGTTCTTCAAATTGTCCTGCACCCAAACGCGAACGGCGGTCCTCGGCAGTTTGTTTACTTGCTGAAAAAAGTTGCTCACAGGGTACAGA